CCAGATTTCAAGCAGTAGTTTCACATTGAGTGTGATGCATCAGGGGGTGGAGTGGGTGTTGTTCTAACTCAAAATAACAAGCTTATTGCTTTCTTTAACAAGGCATTGTCAGAGGGATCCCTAAATAAACCCATTTATGTAAAGGAGCTCATGGCTTTGGTGATGGCCATCCAGTACTGGAGACCCTACTTGTTGGGTCAAAATTTTGTGGTGCATACAAACCAGAGGAGCCTTTGGTATTTGCTTGAACAGCGGATAACTACCCAAAATCAACAAAATTGGTTGACAAAACTGTTGGGGTATGATTTTGACATAGTTTATAGATCTTGGGTGACTAATAGGGTGGCTGATGCATTGTTAAGGAGAGGAGAATACAAAGAGCGGGAAGAGGAGGTTGAATTAAGAATTATAGCCAGACCATATTGTAGGATTTTCAGGAGGTGTTAAGGGAGGTTGAGGAGGATGAAGTGCTCAAGAAGATAATAAAGGAAGTAAGAGCATATTCTAATTTATATCCTTCTTTTACAATGGAGAACGACCGACTACACTACAAAGGAAGGTTGGTTTTATCTGCAAGCTCGGCATGGATTCCTAAACTCCTAGTTGAGTTCCATACTACAAATACTGGAGGACACTCGGGGGTATATAAGACTTATCGTAGGGTGGCCCAATCATTGTATTGGATAAGGATGAAAAAGGATGTCACTAATTTCGTAGCCAGCTGCTTGGTATGCCAGCAGCACAAATACCTGACATCTTCTCCTCAAGAATTGTTACAGCCTTTGCCAATACCACAAGCTATTTGGGAAGAAGTCAGCATGGACTTCATAGTTAAACTACCAAAATCACAAGGTCATGATGCGATTCTGGTAGTGGTAGATCGTCTAAGCAAGTATGGTCATTTTGCTCCCTTAAAGCATCCCTACACTGTTAAAACCATAGCAGAGATTTTTGTTAAAGAAGTAGTCAGATTACACGGGGTGCCAGTATCGGTGGTCAATGATAGAGACCCTTTATTTTTTAGCTTATTCTGGAAAGAATTGTTCAAATTGCATGGCACACAACTACAAATGAGTACTGCATACCACACAGAGTCTGATGGACAAATTAAGGTTTTGAACAAAATATTGAAAGGGTATTTGAGGTGTTTCTGTTCAGAACAACCCAAGAGTTGGAATACAGTTCTTCCTTGGGCTGAATATTGGTACAATACTAGCTTTCAAGGTGCAGCTAAATATAGCCCATTTGAAACCATTTATGGACGAACCCCTCCTGCTCTTACTTGTTTCATTCTTGGGAAACTGTCGTCAAGGCTATGGCTTAGGAGCTTCAAACACGGGATGAAGCACTCAAACAACTCAATTTCACTTGCAAAAGACCACATGAATTGATGGCTAAGTATGCTAACAAGAAGAGGAAACCATCAGAAGTTAAGGTCAATGACTGGGTGTACCTAAATATTAGGCATCATAGACAAGCTTCCATGACAACTTGGCTGCATCCCAAGTTATCAGCAAGATACTTTGGGCCTTTTAAAGTAATACAACAGATTGGAAAAGTTGCTTTTAAACTGTTGTTACCCGAGACAAAAAGAATTCATCCTGTCTTCCATGTGTCACAATTGAAGCTAGCAGTGGGCACAAGACAAGTTGAGAAGGATCTATTAGAGGAACTACAAGTTGATGGCCCAATGTTCTGGCCACTCAAGATCCTTGACAAGAGGAAGAAACAACATGATGAGGAGGTCATACCGTAGATATTGGTTGAATGGCAGGAAGGGGAAAGGGAAGGAGCAACAAGGGAGGATGTGCTAACTATCTAGGAACAATTCCCAGACTTCAACCTTGAGGACAAATGATACGTTGTCGTTGAAGCTATCAAATTAATACTACTTTTCAAGGCAACTTTAGTATTGCCAAGTTAGTATTCCAGAAAGTAGATAGTGTTAAAGTAACCCTGATTCGTCATCCAACGAATACGGAATTGCTTTTCATTATTTGAATCTTATGAATGCTATGCAATGCTCAAGAATGAAAGTGAGAAACTATGCTAATGGATTTAATGTTTGAAGAATGATTGAAGAAAAAAGAGGAAACTTAGAAACAATTATGATGAAATAAGCTAATTCCACTACTTTTCAAAGATAAATTCATCATCGGTTATCCACAGATAATTGTTCAATTGATTATTGTTCAAGTTTCAAATTTATTAAAGTACATTCTTAATTAATTTGAGGGCGATCATGCAGTTAACCAAAGTAGATTCTCAATCAAATGCAAGACCTTTCTAGATTATTCACAATGAATTCAACCAAAGTAAATTCTCAATCAAATTCTAGTGTGTTTAATCTTGTTTATTCCTAAATCTCCTAGTCAAATTAAAAGATAATTAATCAAAGTAAATTCTCAATTAATTTTAGTTGAAATTATTACCACCAACCAAAGTACATTCTCAATTGATAGCAAAAACCTGTTTAATCATATGAAAGTTCCTAAATTTAATCAAAGTAGATTCTCAATCAAACCTATAAACCCTTGAACTCATATGATTAATATGCATGTAGATTCAAACACCTTATGATGCAAAAATCATTACTTTTAATGATTGAGAGATGAAAGACATAGAAAGAGAGCAACTCAAATCAATAATCAAAAGAAACAATTGCACTAATTCAACTTAATCTCAGAATCCATAATAAAATTATAGTGGAATAGCACTAGAAGTTTAGCCCTCCATGAATGGAGTAAAAGACATGATGAAATAAAATGAGAGCAGTAGGCAATAAATGCTTCCAAGTGGAGGAGCCTAAGAATCAATGAGTTGTGTCTCCCTTAGTTCTCTTTATATAGGCTTGATTAGGCTTAGACTCTGAATCTTCTGTTGATAAGATCTTTTATCTTATATTTAATATCTTTCAAATATTCAACATATTTAATCAGTTTTTGAGAATATTTTATAATATCTTTTTTAGAATAAAAAAGATTTGGAAAATATTATCTTATATTTTTATTGGTATAGATGAATAAGGTAATTATTTAACAATATCAAATAAAATATCTTAAGATATAGTTTCTCCAAATTATCTATTAAAATAACCTTGCCCAAAATTACATTTCAACCCGTTTTATTTTATTCAAAACTGCACAGAAGTCCAGAAATTTCCTCTAATTGCACTTAGCCTTTTTTTTCTTTTTAGAATTGCAATTCAAACTTTAATTTCAGCTGTATCAATAAACATTAGACTATCCAAAATAATTTATGCAACTAAAATCACATTTTAAGTCTCTTTAATTCCCAAACCTGATAAACTCAATCGTCATAAATTCACTTTAAATCAATCATTTAAGCACATGAATCTCATCAGAAAATTTAATTTTAAATCATAAATGTTGGCATAAATATGCACTCATCACACCCACCACACTTATCCTTTTGCACTCCTAGGCAAAATTGACTAATTTCAAGACTTTGTTCTGGGTCATTTTATTCCATATTTGCATTTGGATCAAAAGAATGAACAGAACCGGACATAGATCAATCATCTAGAGATCACTTTGTCATGGACATGCAAATGAAATGACTCTATCCTTCACACATGAGTTGACCTTTTTGAATTCCCAAAAAAATCAAATATGAAAGATAACAATCAAGTCAAAATGTATCTATTTATCTCCAACTCTCTCAAGTGTCTTTAGCTTGTGTTTACGCTCAAAATACCCATGTAAGTAGACACCCTTGATAATTAGCAAAATTCTAACATTCACATACTTCAGAAAACATGCAATTATTGATCATGAGGGTTTTTTAAAGGTTATATTGAGGCCAAGACAAAGGTAGGAAATTTTTTTTGGGAATTGCTGAGTTTTTGAAATTGATATAGAAAGAGTAATGACACTTGATTTCAAAAACAACTTTATTATTTTTTTTCCTTTCTCTCTTTTTCTTTTCTTTTTCCCTTTGTTTTCAAAACTCTAACTTTTCATCTTCCTTTTTACTTATTCACCACTTACTTCTAACACAATCCATTACTCCTTCTTTCATACGATTTTTCTTCTTTTCTCATTTGACAATGACTGAAAACAAGGAAACTAGCTTTAAGGCTCAAAGGGTTTTCCAATAGATTAATGTTAGGACAAGTTTATTTGGCCAAGTAGCTAAAACAAGAAATGCCTCAATCATATCACATCATGCATATTCACCTCGGTTGCACAACACAGAATTAAGCTAAATATTAAAGTATCAACAAAACATGGGCAAATCACTGCAGAAATATAGGTATGGCACATGGTGGTCCATCCTTAACATTAAGCCCAAAACTCACATGGTTCAAATTTCTTTCATAAAAGATTTAATCAAGAAATTCTCGAGTCAACTCAATCAACAAATCATAGAAGCAATCCACTCATATCAACATAACTCATTCTTTTCTCTTGAATTCAATATCATCCCAGTTATTGATTCAAACTCTCAAATCCATTGCAAATATTTATTTAAAAAAAATAGGGAACAAAGTTAATTGTTTCCCTACACCCCTACACTTAAACTATGCATTGTTATGAATTGGTGCCTTATATATAGAATGCAAAGAAAAGTATGAGGGTACTTACCTCCTTCATGGTGGAAGGAATGCTAGGACGACTTCATCGGAAAAGTCATCCTACATCGGAATGTTATTTTTTCCCTTTTCAATCCTACTAAGATGGTCAACTACTAAATTATGTGTCCCACTTCTTTCCTGAATAGGATTCAACTTGTCTTTCTCGTTCTTGACCATTGTGATTCAATATTTCTTGGGAACCACATGTACAGGGCTCATCCAAGTGTTGTTAGAATTGGGTATATAATACCTGTTTATAGCAACTTGGTGTCCTCTTTCTTTACAACCTCCATTAGTTGAGGATTCAGTCTTCTTTAAGGTTGTTTCACTGGTTTATTATCCTCCTCCAAAAGTATTCTATGCATGAAAAATAAGGGTTAATACAAGGAATATCTGCTAAAGTCTAGCCTATTGCTTTCTTGTGATCTCTGATAACCTGTAATAGTTGTTTTTCCTGCTCATCAGTAAGCAATGCAAATATAATAACAGGGAGTTTCTCAAGATAAGCATATTTCAAATGAGATGGTAAGGGTTTCAACTCCAAAATGGGTGGTTGTACCACAGATGGCAACATTTTACTGCCTAAGGTAATATCAGGCACCTCAACATCACACTTGAATGCCACAAAGGTATCATCTATTGACACCACGTCCTCAATATCACCTACTTTACATATTTCTTCGTCGTCTAAAGTTGGGCACGACATATTTGAAAAAGAATAATCCAAAGTTGGAGAAAAAGTGCTTACAACACCACTTAATAAGTCAATACAAAAAAAAGAATGATTTTTAATCGGGTGCTTCCCAACTTCCAACACGTTGAAGTGCACTTTCACATCTCCTATCTCCATTGTCAATGATCTTGCATGCATATCTATCTTGGTTCGTGTTGTCATCATGAAGGGTCTTCCTAAAATAATAGTTGTTGGACTGATTCCTTCATCATCCTTCATATCCAAGATATAAAAATCTACAGGAAAAATTGAATTGTCTACTCGGACAAGCACGTCCTCAAGCACACCTACAGGGACGTCCTCAAGCACACCTACAAGGTTAATTGTGCTACAGTTGGCCAATTGAATGACTACACCAGTAGTTTTAAGAGGTCCCAAAGATAGAGAAGTAAAAACTGATAAAGGCATGACATTTATGGAAGCCCCTAAATCTAGCATGGCATTGTCAAACTTTGAATTTCCAATAACACAAGGAACAGAAAACACACCTGGATCCTTTCATTTTCATGGTATTTCAATATGCTTCTTAATAAAGCTGGACACATTTCTTCCCAAATTCACAACCTCATCATCCATAAAACGCCTTCTATTTGTGCAAAGTTATTTTAAAAACTTGGCGTATTTAGGGATTTTCTTAACAACATCTAGCAAGGGAATGTTGATCTCCACCTTTTTGAAAGTATTTAAGATCTCTTTGTCTATTTCCTCCATTTTTTTATTTCTCGACTTCAACCGATTTGGATATGGAGGAGGTGGAGAATAAGATGAAGAACAATTTTTAGAAGAAGAGTTAGAGGATACTAACCTGGATTCATCAGTTGTAGTCTAAGGTGATGGTTCACTTGGTCCTCCATTGTCATCAATATGTGTGTCTTCTTTTTCCTTATCTTCATCCTTTTAGGCTCCCTTAGAGCCTTGTACTTGCTTCCCCGTTCTTAAAGTAATAACACTTACATTTCGCGGGTTGATCACTGTTTGTGCAAGCAATTTATTTGATTCCTTGGCCTCTAACTTATCCACCCTCTAAGTCAACTCTACAATTGATTTCTTGATTTATGAATTTTGCTCAAGTATTGTCTTCATGAAATCTTGCAATGACATTTCAGGTTGAGGTTGTAGCCTTTGTTGAGGTGGAACATAAGGTTGCATGTTCTGCTGATACCTATTGGAGGAGGAATTATGATAACTCTGGTATGACCTATTTCCTCCAAACATGTTTGCAGCAAAAACTTGAGATGGGTTTTCCATAGTAGCTTCCACCAAGCTAGGACATTCATCAGTGTAGTGATCAGTTGAAACTAGATTTCTTAGCAATTTGTGGAATTGAGGTTTTAAACAAGCTTGAAATCTCATCGAGTTTGCTCTCTAACTTATTTAATCTTTCATCTATCTTCTTTCCATCAACTGCATCATTTTCAATTTCATGCACTCCCTTCAACAAAGTCACTGAATTTTCTCTTGTTTCATACTTTTGATTGTCTATTGCATTCCGTTCTATTATATCTATACCATCCTCTGGTGACCTGTCTAAGAAAGATCCTCCGCTTGCAGCATCTGCCCATGACCTATCTATTGGACTTAATCCTTCATAAAAGCTTAAAATGAAATCTTGCATTTGGAGTTGAAGGCATGAAGCACATAGTTTCTTGAATCTTTCCCAATATTCACTAAGATTCTCCCTATCTCTCTGTCTTGTATCTTGGATTTCTCTACGGATGGCTGATACTTTTCAAGAAAGAGTCTTTCTATAGTTTCCCAATTTGTAATCCGTGCAGAGAGATAATACCACCAATCTTGAGATTCTCCTTGAAGAGTAAAAGGAAAAGCTCTCATTTTAAGGCTCTCTATTGTGATCATAGGAGATCTAAAATTTTCACACAACATGTGGAATTGTCTCAAGTGGTTGTGTGGATTCTCCCTTGATAACCCATTGAACTTTGGTAAGGCATTTAACTGGTCAGGTCTCAACTCTAACTCATCATTATGGTATTCAATGTTACTTCGGATAACTATATTGTGGGAGATGGCTAGCTTTCTGATAGTTCTTTGTGCCATTCTGTTCGGGTTAGGATCAAGTAAGGGGTTAAATGGTATATTTGTGATTGGAGATAATGAAGGTGGTATGGATTTAGATGTAGAAAGTGTTCCCTCAGTAGAACACCTAAATGTCAAACTTCTCGGTAGCTTACGCAAATTCCTTTCAACTTTCGGGATAATTTGATAAAATTCTCCCGGGTTAGCTTTGGTCATGCACTACGCAATTTGCTTGAAGTTTTTTCTCTATTCTTGACTTCTTCTTTTTTTCTTTTGTTCTTGCTTTAGAGAAAGATTTCAAATAAGAGATAAGAGATACTTTGTTTGGGTCCACTCCCAGGAAAGAGAGGTGCGTCACAATGGACAACTTAAGTACCAAGTCTTTCATAGCCAGAATATATTCAAACTAGCCTCAAATACTTCTCAAAATAAATTCTTAATTAAAACAAGAACAAAGATTTTGCTAAAAATAATAACTAAAGGCTATAAAACAACTCAAACTAAATTAAATATATTTGCGTTAAAAAAACAAATAAAGATAAACATAAAAATTAAAATAAGAATCAAAATATTCAAAATACTAACTGTAGTCCCCGACAACGGCGCCAAATTTGATATGTTGTCCTTGAAGCTTTCAAATTAATAATACTTTTCAAGGCAACTTCAGTATTGCCAAGTTAGTAGTCAAGAAAGTAGATAGGGTTAAAGTAATCTTGAGTCGTCTCCCAACGAATACGAAATTGCTTTTCAATATTTGAATCTTATGAATGTTATGCAATGCTCAAGAATGAAAGTGAGAAATTATACTAATGGAATTAATGTTTGAAGAATGATTGAAGAACAAAGAGGAAACTTAGAAACAATTATGATGAAATAAGCTAATTCCACTGCTTTTCCAAGATAGATTCAGCATCGGTTATCCACAGATAATTGTTCAATTGATTATTGTTCAAGTTTCAAATTAATTAAAATACACTCTTAATTAATTTGAGGGCGATCATGCAGTTAACCTAAGTAGATTCTCAATCAAGTGCAAGACCTTTCTAGATTATTCACAATGAATTCAACCAAAGTACATTCTCAATCAAATTCTATTATGTTTAATCATGTCTATTCTTAAATCTCCTAATCAAATTAAAGCTAATTAATCAAAGTAAATTCTCAATTAATTATAGTTGAAATTATTACCACCAATCAAAGTACATTCTCAATTGATAGCAAAAACTCGTTTAATCATATGAAAGTTCCTAAATTTAATCAAAGTAGATTCTCAATCAAACCTATAAACCCTTGAACTCATATGATTAATATGCATGTAGATTCAAACACCTTATGATGCAAAAATCATTACTTTTAATATGATTGAGAGATGAAAGACATAAAAGGAGAGCAACTCAAATCAATAATCAAAAGAAACAATTGCATTAATTCAACTTAATCTCAAAATCCATAATGAAATTATAGTGGAATAGCACTAGAAGCTTAGCCCTCCATGAATGGAGTAAAAGACATGATGAAATAAAATGAGAGGAGTGGTGGATGAATGCTTCCAAGTGGAGGAGCCTGAATGAATGAGTTGTGTCTCCCCGATTCTCTTTATATAGGCTTGATTGGGCTTGGACTCTGAATCTTCTATTGATAAGATCTTTTATCTTATATCTAATATCTTTCAAATATTCAACATATTTAATCAGTTTTGGAGAATATTTGATAATATTTTTTCTAGATTCAAAAAGATTTGGCAAATACTATCTTTTGATTTTTATTGATATAGTTAAATAAGGTAATTATTTAACAGTAAGATAATTATTTAACAATATCAAATAAAATATTTTAAGATATAGTTTCTCCAAATTATCTTTTAAAATAAATTTGCTCAAAATTACATTTTAATCATTTTTATTTTATTCAAAATTGCACAGAAGTCCAGAAATTTCTTCTAATTGCACTNACTTTTAATATGATTGAGAGATGAAAGACATAAAAGGAGAGCAACTCAAATCAATAATCAAAAGAAACAATTGCATTAATTCAACTTAAACTCAAAATACATAATGAAATTAAAGTGGAATAGCACTAGAAGCTTAAACCTCCATGAATGGAGTAAAAAACATGATGAAATAAAATGAGAGGAGTGGTGGATGAATGCTTCCAAGTGGAGGAGCCTGAATGAATGAGTTGTGTCTCCCCGATTCTCTTTATATAGGCTTGATTGGGCTTGGACTCTGAATCTTCTATTGATAAGATCTTTTATCTTATATCTAATATCTTTCAAATATTCAACATATTTAATCAGTTTTGGAGAATATTTGATAATATTTTTTCTAGATTCAAAAAGATTTGGCAAATACTATCTTTTGATTTTTATTGATATAGTTAAATAAGGTAATTATTTAACAGTAAGATAATTATTTAACAATATCAAATAAAATATTTTAAGATATAGTTTCTCCAAATTATCTTTTAAAATAAATTTGCTCAAAATTACATTTTAATCATTTTTATTTTATTCAAAATTGCACAGAAGTCCAGAAATTTCATCTAATTGCACTTTAGTCTTTTCTTTCTTTTCAGAATTGCAATTCAAACTTTAATTTCAGCTGCATCAACAAGCATTAGACTATCCAAAATAATTTATGCAACTAAAATCACATTGTAAGTCTCTTTAATTCCCAAACCCGATAAACTCAATCATTTAAGCACAAGAATCTCATCAAAAATTTGAATTTTAAAACATAAATGTGGACATAAATATGCACTCATCAACCAGGTTGCACATCAGGCGATGGATAATGATAGGAAATGGATAATTTATGAAGAAAGAGAAAAGGGAATAAAGGGAGAGGAGCATTATGTAGTTATAACCGTATTAGTATTTGGGCGGGAAATAAAGCTCCTACAAAGAGCTATTGTATTATGATATTGGACACTTTTTTATTGTTTTACCGTAAAGACACGATCACGTTTATCCTGTGGAGGGGAGAATATTTGGCTCTTTTGGAGAGTTTATACTTTATTTTCTGGTTGTTTAGTGTGAGTGAATACACATTAGATAGGTTTCCAATCCAGAAACCTATTAGTTACAGTCAAAGTTTAAAACTTATTTAGCATAAATATGAAAATTACAAGGCAGTAACTGAAATTGCCAGGATTGTAACACATAAGACAGTATAACAAGACATACAGACACACTGATACAATCGCACAAGTAACATGCCCTGCCTTCCGAAGGTAGAATGAATGCTAAACAACGGTAGAAAAGAAGAGGAAATTTACTTCCTATAGTGTTGTCACGAGGAATATACAAGACAAAGAATAACACATTGGGTTCTGGTTTCAGAAACAGCTCTTTATTCGTTTTTTGTTTTAGAAAAACAAGTGTGTCAAATTTCCGACCACTGTCG